TTTGTCACTCACATATGGAGAAAAAGGAACGGTGCAGTGAAAAAAACATGGCCCAAAATGTTATTATGGTTATATATCTAGAAGTGTTGCTTCTGTCCACAGAAATGAATGGCGGAAATGAGTTTTTCGAACCCTCTGAGCCGGAACCAGCAGACCAAATAGTTCCTAGAGGTATAAATCCCGCTAAAATCATTGAACGAGGAGCTGTGTACAAACCATTTGGCCAATAATACATCTTTTTCGTAGGTACAGCATGGTGTACTATAGATACGGAGTATGTGATTTTGGTAAGATGATCCGGAGTGATGAATCAGATACCGCACTGAATATTTCGTCGTCTGATTTCAGAAAAGTTATTTATTTAAATGAGGCATCCTACACCAATTTTGCAGCGTTTGCTCGCGCAGTATATCTAGCAGTCACCTATAAGTAAGGTGCATGTTAAGGATGACAGATGAGCACCACGACTCACTTGTCACAAACTCAGTAGGCCTGGCAACTAATACTAATTTTATAGTTCATACAGTTTACTGACTAATGAACGTGCATTAATTTTTTAGTGTGAATAAGCCGCGGAAATTTAGGAATTAACTTCAGATGCCGATATGACCTAATTTTTGTGTATATGCCAGGACTGGCGGAGTCTGTGGGTGATAGGAAGGCCAGGTGGGATGTTCAAATATCGACGATGTAGCTTGCAGGTTTGTTTTTATTACTGATAACACGGGATTCCTGAAAAATTATTTCAGCTTACTGGATGCGGGACAGTGATGGGTGGGACTGGCGTGTGTTTTGTGATGTGTGGAGGCGTAAGATCTACACACTAGCATGTCATCCAACACACTATTGGGTGTAACGTCGTTTCGGTGGTCAGGAAAAGATGGCCAGGGAATTTATTTCTGTTGCAAACCTCTGGGACGTTTAAAACTAAGATATATCCGGATACGCTAAAAAGCACCACTCATGTGTGTTTTCAGCTGGTTTCTTTGCATCTAGAGATGGTTTTTCGACAGACTCATTCTACGTATGTTTATTGAATGCAAAGTAATCCTCTCCATTGTTAGATACAATCTTCATAAATTTATTAGTTGTTTTGTGATCATGTTTATTTGAACATACTTTTTGGACGTTTTGGCGACTCACTTCGGCGCTTGACTTTTTACTACCTTTCCGCGAAGATTTGGTCACAGAGATCCTCATACTTAAATCGGTTTCCAGCTGCATTAGCAAGAATGAAGGTTGTGCGGTTCGCTCAATGTCCCTGTCAGTACTGGCGGGGTGCACCGGTAACTGCCTATTTTGATGACTTTAAGACCGAAGTGGTAACAAAATTATTTTCGCGCGTTTTTTCATGATGACAAGGAGCGTTGTCTTGAGCCATAATAACAGACTCACAAATGTCATTTAACCTTAGATGGTCTTGAAATTGAGTAGAGTCTCTAAAATCAGGTAAGGTACTGAGACCTAAATTTATGGGGCAGTAAGACTGAGTTAACAGTCGACGAAGCCCTCCGCATTGACTTGGTACAGTAATTCAAGACCCGGTTTTCGATACTCCCCGTCACACTGGCAGCAAGTAGTCAGTGTGGTTTTCTGCTCCAGCTAGATTATTTAGAGGAATTTTTGGAATGATTTTTAAGGGACAGGTAAATGGTTCTAAATCCCTAATCTTTTTATAACTCAAATCCAACAAGTACTTTGCAGGGAGATTTATTGTAACACTTGAAGCTAATCGGGGTATGCAATCAGATTGACCGAATTTCTTCCGAAGCCCACTTATCTGCCCTTCAGTATAGTTCAAAAGTCAGGTTAAATCACAGAACTCAGAGTTCTCTAAAGGAATACATGTAACCTGTGTTGCATCAGTGAACACTGCTTTTGAGCCATTTGGTGAGCTGCTGGTTATTACTACACTAGGTGGTAATATAGTGTTAACCGAGTTAGGCAACTGTCTAGAACAGTCGCGTTTCTACGAACGTACCTTAACGAATTTCAGCCCGTAATTCCCAAAGAATATATCGGTTAGCAACGAATAAATATCGGCGAAATCTCGCGCAAAAATGTCACCAATTTCGAACGTGCCGTTTCCAGAAAGTTGCTCTGGGGATTCGGTGAACCTATCGCTTTTTGTAAAAGAAGAAAAGGAAAAATTGTCAGTTGCCTGCACCATCATTCAACCACCCATTAGTAATATGGTAATATAAGGCCGCTCACGTGCACTTCAATCCTAGTGATTCAATGAGCCACTAAAACAATTGACTTTCAAACTATGCACTTCTGCTGGAAGTTTTAATTCCTATTTTTAGTTTTTGATCAAGGCTTCAGGAACTGCCTAGGCGGATGAGCCTGCCGAAAGACCAGCGATATCTGCATGTACATGGTCACACATCGAGCAGAAGCTATTTAAGCGACAAAATGACTTATTGCTGTGGTGGTGCATTCCGTTTCTTTGACAGGAAATACGATTTTGCGTCCACATATTGGTATTGCTCTTAATGTGTAGCTGCACAAATTTTTATTTCAGCGGCTTGATATTAGCAACGAATCCGGGATGTGACATGTTATTCAGTTTCTCAAAAAGTATCCGTCTCTCATCTACCGGTGTAAAAGGTTAGCATTTACTAGGACAGGTATCGCGAACGCCAAAAGTAATCTTTGTGAGTTATATGGATTTTTTCGTAGGAAATAAGCTTCCTTGGTCTCCTATCATCATTCCATAAACATGAAGGATGTTGACGACCGATTTCAGAGAGTAATATGTTGGTGATGTGCACACTCAACAAAGCTTCTGAAAATTCGTTGTTACAACCTCTGATGTGCCGAATATAGGAGCTAAATGGTATGTAAACTCAGGGTACACCAATTCATGAAGCGGGTGGTTATCTTGTTAGGCTCTGCTTGGAGCTTTATGATCTGTAAATACAGCGAAAACACTACCCTTTAGTATACGTCTAAAATGTTAGATTACAAAATAAAGTACTGGAAGCTCCCCACCAATACTGTTATAATGACGCCCAGTGGGGTACAGTCGCTTTGAAAAGTAAATATGAGGTCACCATTTACCGTATACCTGTCTTCGCAAAACCGCCCGAGTGGCCACATTCGGGGAGTCTGTTGTGTGGTAAGAACTTTATTTTCGCGTCTGACTAAGGGTGTCTTTTCACCTTTAAAGTGCCTAACGCACTCATAGGCGATTCGGTGACTTCAGCTAAAAGCTGAAGCAAACGTCTGCCTCCATGAAAACGTTCGGTTGATGGCTGTAAAACCCATGCTCATTCGGGAATAGATACAAAAACCAATGCAATTTCTCAATGAGTCAGGCGTTGGATAGTCTTTAATAGCTTGAAACTCATCAGAGAACGGTGTAATTGCTGGACTGTCGATCAAATGAGAGGAGAATTTAACGGTTTCTAAAGCGCATGAGTCGAAACAACCTTTGTATTACATCGCCATGTAAATGAAGGCAACCAAAGGTTAATTTTCAGTTACGCAGTGGTAAACATTCGCTAAGCATACATAAAACTAGTTTCTGCACATGACCTGATTTCAGAAATGCCTGAGCTAGAGTTAACAGAGAGCACGACACTGTTTGCCAATCTCGGTAATTTTCGATGACTTTCCCCAATTCGCAACGAGTTTTCAAGAACGCTACCAGCCTCCATGGTTTAATTTCTCTGGACTTCACATTATCCCGGTTATCAAACTGTCCATTTCCGATTCCTCCCTGTTGGAATATAGACACATCAGGCTTGTGTTTTTATTAAACATTCCTGATGGCTTCTTCTCATTCAAATTTTCATTTGTCTATACTTAACTGTTGTCACTGAGGCCACTGTTTCCCGGATAACATCAGTTGAAAATACAACTTCGTTAATTTTCCCTGTCAGAAGCATGGCACGTTACTACAATCAATGAAAGTTTGTGTCATTCGGTTTCCTCTTTTCACATACGACAATATTTAACTAGTCATTAATCCAACACTGTTAAGTCACAGAAAACAGATCGACATGTCAAAGGTTTCTGACACAGAGAATTGGACTTTCATCATAAAGCACAGCGTATTAAGTGGTTACCTCATGTGTACAATATAGTACAACTTAAAACCTCTTAAAGTATATTATTCCTGCTTGGCTCAGACCGATAAGTTTCCAGTGGAACAAGATTTTGTGAAGGCTCCGTGCTAATGCTTAGCTAACAAACTAACTTAAAAATAATGACCAGCAAATCAGAGAGGAAGAGGAGGGCTTCAGGTGTAGTTGTGACAACCCTCTCCGGAAAGTTAAGTTGTTAAAAGTGTGGTGGTGTGATACAGAGAGTGTGTGCCAACGGAATATGACTCTCATATGTTCCCACAGTTCAAGACTGTGTTAGTAAAAGAATACGATATATCTGTTTGAACATTCTATTTGATGTTAGAGACAGAATAATTTTTCAACGGTTAAATACTGCATAAACAACAAATTACTACGTATATTTGAACATCGTATTTCATGTCGTTTGATGTTAATCGAAATTCCACACTCAGTGATTGATTAACGAATTCAGTCTGTAGATATATAAACAGTGGTATGATCATTGAAATAAACATTGGCTACCGTGTCTTGCCTTTTGTTGTTCCAAAAGTGTAAGGGGATTTCCAGGTAGAATCAAAACATGGCTGATGCTTTTCTCTATTACAAGAGCTTGTTTGACATCCTGAGAAGCACCCAACAGAGATTTCGTATGTCTACCAAAAACCATACCAGACAGTATGTCCACATGAGGGATGAAATATATATATATGGCTTTGTTATTAAATGAATAGCAACATCAAAGCTGTCAAAAACACTGAAATTTTTGGGCGCAAAATCCAGCTGAAATATAATATTAAATATTTCGGTGGCATATATCCGGATGGAACGCCTCAAAAAATGATATTTATCCTTAGTACAATAGATTGGAAGTTTTGTTTGACTTCACCAGATGCATTGAAGGATTTAGGGAATGCTTTCAAATAAGAAATGTATTCACGTACTCTCATAGTAACTTTCTTTGGAATTATACTGCTTCTAACTGAAACAAACACACAAAGATTTAGCTTTCTGAAGAATGCAAAACCATACTTCGAAAATATGTTTCAGAATACTGCAAGAAAGTTAGCCTTCATGAATGTAAGTGTGCTCACTTATTAGTGAATTTCAATTTCCCAGTGCAAAATTGTGACAACTTAGAAAGATATATTCTACTTTTGCCGTCGTCTCTTTCGTTTTTATTCTGTTGATTAGTGTGAAATTGTTTACGTTGCTCTTTCAGTAGTTCTAACCAATATCCTTATATACCAATTTTGAGGAAATTTAGGAGTACCTCCAGGCAATTTTTGATTATCAGGTGCATTATGGGGAACATTTGGAGGTTTTCAGAAAATTTAATGTTAATTTTGATATATTATCTTCAATTCATTGTTTCGGTGGTAAATTGTGTTATCCCATAAATGTTTAAATTAAGTCCTATATTACCCCAAAATCTTTGAGTTGAGAGAATTTCAGAACAATAATAATAGTTACAAATACTGTAAGTCTTTCCTCATTAGATTCTTTCCTACTTATAGCTTTATGTATCTATATAAGTTCCCCAGGACGAAAGTAGCCCAGAATAAACTGGAAGACGTTTGTATCTTTCCACTATATTGACCTTCGTCCACGTAGTTGAATTCATTTTTGTCACGCTAACTGCCTCTTAGATCAAACTCAGTCAAATCACTTGTTTTAACCTTTTCTGCGCTCTGTTAGTTTTATCTAACAAGGAGTGTGATCCGTTTAGTGGCAAACATCTGAGCAGTATCATATTCCAAAATGAGGTCACTTTCTTCGAATGGTAAAATAATGAAAACATGTCAGTTCTCATATTCTTTCTTCCTACCTCCTTTTTATTCATCTCATGGAGTTAGCCGCTCGATTCAAGTATCTACCAGCTAGGTGTATGTTCCATTCAACACCAGATGAATGTAAGCTTGGTATCAGATAATGTCTTTGGTTTATGTGGACGTTGGCCAATAGACAAATGAAATGTTGCAAGAAAAATTGGGGCAAACAGCTGTCTTTGGCATCCGCAGTTGAAATACATGAATGAAATATGGCAAAATATCTAGTTCCAAGGATATTTTGAGGTATTTCGGTGCCAAAAGAGTCAAGAATATGTGGTGAATTTAGAGTCGAATGAAGAAGTTTGAGTCCTTGAATTTGGATGAAAAGACAGTCTGCCATCTGTTAATATTTAAGCTGACTGTGAAAAGAAACGACCTAGACATGGTGATAAAACCCCTGAAGATGCTGGTCTTCCTATATACGGAATGTAAATGCATGTGTTTGTTCCAATTGCAATAAGTGATCATCGGGTAATGTTGAGTTCAGTTCATTTAATTCATGGATAAAGTGACCAGTACATTTATGTGAATACTGTAACGAGTAACAAGGTGTGGAAGGTGTCAAATAAACATGGGGAAATAATTAAAATGGATTAAATAGATAAAAAGTCGTGAAATGTTACACTTATGAAATAAAGGCCTGTCAGTGAAACCAGGGGATGAATTGAATTATTATTGAATATTATGATAATCAGAATGCCTAAATGGACGCCAGGCCCTCGAGTGGAACACGAAAGGGAAGTGGCGAGTTAGACGTCAGTTCAAGGGTGACATGGAGGAAATCGTGTGAAGAGGAGATGAAATAGTAGGAATAACATGGATGCAGGTGAAAAGTACAACAGAAGACAGAAGCAAGTGGAGACGTGCAGTTGAAGCCCTATGTTCCACTAGAAACACAAGGGAACAACAATAATAATAATATATAGAACTTCTTGGTGGACAATAAAGCTATGAAACAGTCACTGTCAACGAATTGCTGTCGATGCCAATTCTCAGCGCTTCTAAGGTCCTTGTGTGGTCTGTAAAAACAATCGAATGCTGCATAGATTACAGAATTTGACCTTTTAATTATATGCATATACATTCCAGGGTTAAAGTTTTTGAGACTCATGGAAACGGTTACTCTTTGACCATCTTAGTTGGCAGAATGAGGAAATGGTTGAATCATAAACGTTTGACAAACTCTTTCGTTCTAAAATTGCTATTTTAGAAGCTGACGGTATAGACGTCCGCGAATTGTACGGCGTATGCTAACGGAAGACCTTATACCAACAGCTTCTATAGTATTCGTTTCTCGTGTAACAAAGACATAGCAGAAGACAGTATTTGATCGTTCAAATTACGCGATATTGTTAGACAAACGCTTAGCTGGCTAGTGACCGTGCATGAACGTGACACGACGAAGTACGAAATGGCGGGGATGCTTGACCGAAAGCCTTCAGCTAAACAAGTCGACTTAAACTCTAAGGGTCAGCATCCAATGTCCACTGATGATTCCTATGGTCAATAATTTTGGGGAATTATTTACCGCTACACTATCATAGGCAAATGAGTTGCCAAACGGTAATATTGTAGAGACCATCAATCTAGTTGTTGGATAGGCTTATTCTCATTTCTCCCAAACTCATATAAGACAGCCCCAACTTATATATGCCTTACAAAGGGAATTGTACACAAATAATTTTTGCCCACCTTTGCGTCTATTGAACACAAGCTAATACTGGATGTTTGCCAGATTTCCACCATTCTATCTTCATTTGTAGGTGGATGACTTCACCTCCATCCTTTACGTTCCAAGTGGGACACATTAAATGAAGCTTTGAAATGATATTAGCATAGGTCTTGTTTAAGTATGGTGGGGTTCCTGGTTTTACACTCAACATTCATTATTATCAAAATCTAATAAAGCCTATTAAACTTGGTCAGGTTTAAAAGTGTGTTGGCCTGGAATCACACAGGGATCTCTCACGCGGCTGGCTTGCTTTCCACAACCGAACTACTGATACAAACAGATGGATCATATTTTTCAGTTTACCCTACTAATTATGCCAAAACTGTATGAAGTAAGGGTGTTTCCTGCTATTTGGATAACTGTCATAGTGGCGACTTTGTGGCGTGTTCACTATTTCGATATCAGCAGTATATCTTGTGAGATCGCGAAATTGTCAACCATATCATAAAATGAAACGTTTCATTAGAAGCTTGTGATAAATGCAAGTAATTCTCATTCAGAGTGTGATCACATTTTTACATGGTTTTGAATTACTGCTGTCGATGAAATTATCTTAAAGCGCACCAGCTGGGTTACATTACGAAATAACTACGACACAGACTGAAACATTCAGACAAATGTTTTTTTTATATTTTTTATTACAGCTTGATTCCAAACTGTATTTTTGGTGCAAGTATGGAATTTCCAGCTTGTGATATTGTAGCCCAAATTTCGCAGGCCGACCATAGATATCAGGTGTGCGTCGGCAGGGGATTGAACCTCGGACCATGTGCATGGTCGGCGAGAGTCCTAACCACTGCGCCACCGACGCACAGTTGATTGATGGTGCAGCTAGGTTTCAAACAGCAAGAGTTTGCTACTTAAAATCAATATTTCGGAAATTTAATCATGACTTAAATGTGGTGTCTTTTTATCAATATACAATCGTACTTACAAAATGGAGATAGGTTTGTTTTAATAATCTGGATGTTGTGCTTGTGACTTGATCACAACATGGATTTTATTTCCAATCTGTCTGTCTAAAGCGGGGGTTTATATCTCACAGCCTTTGACACCAAGCGTTGGGCGCACCTCGAATAATAAATTTACACATAATATCCGGCTACCTGGTATGTAAAGTCCATCTATCGAAGTTATCTTGCAGTTTTTGAATATATGGCTGTAACATTATTAACAAAGAAGTTTGTATTAACTACCATACGTATGATTTTTAATCTATTTTAATTGGCGGAAATTAAGTCCACGATTTCTTCATTATATGCACTATCGAAATAAATAATACCCGATCAGTTCCATTCATTTTAAATTTATGGGGAATAATTTATCTGTTTTCTTGTGTATTGTATATTTCTAGGCGTATGAGTTCGAAATAAATCGCCGTTCATTAAGTTTGGAACAGTTTAACTTATCATCTGAAGTAATCAACTATGCAGGAAGAATCGGACATATTATCAAGTCTCTGGAAAACTCTTTAAAGGTTAGTTTAAATATTTCGCTACAAAATTACAGTCATATATTTACGACCGTATCTAATAGTTTAGCAAATGCATTATTTCTGTAGAATTATTTAGAATTTGGTGATTTCAAGAGTGAACTCAACATCTTAGTACTTGAAAGGAGTAAAATGAATGAGGCATTATTTACCGATGTGTAAATGAATTATTTCCTAATGCTTACAGTAAAATACCACCCTACTTTATAGATGGTATGTGTTTTTGATCACCAAGTGATTTTGTCGGTTACTCCTAGAATCGACACTTTTGAAGTCAACATCTGATGATTTAGTGTCTATAAAACATTAAGTTTACAAGTTTGAACTACTATGATATCGTGTCCTCATCATCTACATGCAGACGGAACTGATGGGGGTATCAAAGCGCGAGGATCGGGAAAGCAAAGCAAGCTTTCATTTCGCCCAAGTCTGTGTGGCCGTCAAAAGCACTCAGCATGAAAAATAAGGTCCGGATTTTCAAACCCAGTGTGAATTCAGTGCTACTATACGGATGAGAGACACGACGAGTCATGAAGAACACTTCAAGCAAACTACAGACCTTCATCACCAGCTGTCTTCGCTCAGTATTACTGAAGATCAGATGGCCAGCCAGAAAAGATCAGCAACAGGGATCTCTAGCGATGAGCAAAACAACCCAGCAGGAACCGATTGTTCACCAAATAATCAGGAAGAAATGCAGGTGGATTGGCCATACTCTGAGAAAACCATCAAGTGACATCACATGACATGCTCTCGTGTGGAACCCGAACGGAAAGCGGCGAGTTGGTCGTCAGTGTGAGGGTAGGGTGACAAAAAGCAGGTCATGTGAACAGGAAATGAAAGTGTGTGGGTAGACGTGGAGCCAGGTGAAAATGTTGGCGGAGAACCGAATGTATTGGAGGCGTGTTTCTGAAGTCCTATGTTCCTCTAGGAATTAAAGGAAACAATAATAATACTATGATATCTCATAACGTAGGATGAGTGATTTGCATATATATATATATATATATATATGTATATATATAAAGGTGGATTAAATATTCTATTTGTCAGTTGTGTACATGATGAAAAAGAACGAAAAACAGTGAGAATAATGTAGGAATCTTACTGAAAAACTGTTACATTCTTCCTGTAGTAAAAATGTTATATACACTTATAATATTACAAATTCTGTTTCTATACATTGAATACAAATTAGTTAGTAAAACACTTGGTCTAGCTTTGCAAAAGTAAGTATTACTATTGTATTCAGTAATGCACCTATCAGCATACAGTTTGTACAAGCAATTTCCATCATGGAGACAGAATATAGACTGACCTACAGAAAATACGGTAAAATAACTCTTCGATTTTAAGTATTGTTTTTCTAGGGATTTCATGTTTGATTGCATGGAGGATTTCATCATGAGCTGACATCAGTTGGAAGCCGTAACCAGTAGGGTACAGCAGGTTGGAGATAAGGCAGTAACTCTTCGAAGAAGACATTGAGAAATGGTCGCGCTATGTTGTGAATTGGCAGAAGTTAGAATTCAAGGACCATCGGATCGGGTCCCAGTGGCTCAGTGGTCTACGAGCTAGCTCGTCTTGTAGCCAGAAGGTCCTGGGTTCGAACCCCTGTTGGTGGGTGCGTACTGCTGAAGAACTTCAAACTAGGCAGGCGAAAGAGCTGTCCAGGACTCCCATTTGGTTTTCCAGTGGTTCTCTAACTGATATCAGCTCACGATGAAATCTTCCATGCAATTTTCGATTTTACTGTACCGAATACTCATTTGTTATTGAGCTTTGCAATATACCTAATTAACTAAACGAAACGACAAAGCAGTATATCACACTTAAACTTTTCGGTTTCTATTGGTATAAATGAATTCAGTAACAGATAGTAAAATCATTCAATTTAACTAATTTATTATGTTCATTATGAGGATTTATAAAAGTAAACTTTAATTCACTTATTATTGATTTAAAAAGCTTAGTTCACCAGTTTTCTCTATTATTATTATTAGTCTGCCATTAGTATTCACTAATCTTTATATCTTATTCCGACTGACCTAACAATATGTAAGAAACGAAAGTATTCCTTAACTTGAACTTTGGGATATAGTTAGTCCCTAACACAAAAATCAAGTCTAAATTTTGTACCACAAAATACAGATAAGTGAATAAATACTTCCATTTTTCAATAACGTAGTGACAAAATATTCAACTTGAATAACATCTATACTTTGTTTAACAAAATATTTGTATTATTGGTCATTTATTCTGAAATGATTTCCCCTAAATTCCGGTCATGTACACATTGTAAAGTGCAGGTGAAATTATTCCGATTACTGCTTAAACTCATGTAATGATGACTTTACTGTATGATAATAGCGTAAATAGTTAATACAAATTTTGTAAAATGGAAATGCCGCTTACGTACAGTAAACTATGAGTAAGTAGAATAAATATATATGAAACAGAAATGAAGTAAACTGAGTGGCTTGGATGTACCAGTGAAAATTATTATTATTAATATCCATAATTGTTTTTGTTACTATTTACGTTTTCTTTACCCTACAGTTTGGATACTACTTCTTAAGTGAAATTTTAGGTGAGACAGTAATAATTTATATTGTTAGTTCATGCTTAACGGAGTAAAAATGATATTTACAAAACAGAATAGTAACAGAAATAAATCCTCATTTGATACGTATTTTTCCGTACACATCTGCGAATAAAGTGTTATCACTCCTATTTTCTAAGTATTGTAACTGAATTAAATTATTAGCTTGTCAGTAGTGTGTTTTTAAATTACAACGAAATTCATCAATAAAATTTTGTTTTCTTGGTCGTATGCCCCTCTCTTTTCCTAAGGAAAGATAAAGGTGTCATCTTTGCGAAATCCATAGGTGCATTTCCTGCTATATGACTGCCATATTGTACTTTAGACAATGTCACACGTTATTATAAAATCATTTAAGAAGATAATTTGTTTGGTACAGGCAAAAATAAACATAAGTTTGGGCTATATTTGACTACAAGGATGATAGTTGCTAGGACAACACTTATTATTATAAGCCTGGAAGAGAACAAATGTCTAAAACCGATGAAAATAATGTACTGACCTCGATACCATTCGGGTATATAAAATTTACTAGCAATGTTGAGACACATACGCAAAACATTCAGAAATATCCCGAATTGTATTGAAGGCTGTTATACGCTGCAAATTTTACATTTCATTTGCCTAGAAAACATTTTGACAAGGGAAAATTGTCTACCTTTTAATTACATATAGTCAGATTTGGGATTTATTTGTTCTTGTTTTCCTAGTGATACGCCTTAATGTCTAATTCATATTCTATGCAAGATAAGCCATTTTGGTTGTATTCAGCATATCATCAATTTTGTTTCCCCGTTCACCAATATTCTAAATAACCTAAAAGTAGCAGTAACAGAATACGAGGAGAAAACACCACATTTCCATCTTTCATTTTTGTCCTTCTGTAGACTAATATACTCAGCAAATTAAATGTGGAACTATTTGACGAAAAAGTGTGAACATATGTGACTAAAACTGAATCAAACAGAATAGATGAGGTTCGTAGGCGCGTAAAAGGAAGAGCATTAATAACACCGATTTTTATATATATATATATTAACAGATGCCTAACTGAAAAAGGTAAACTTTAAAAGACTGCAAGCACTGGTTAAAGAATTAGTATTTTGAATATTCCCAGCAACATAGCATTTCAGTGTATCAAAATGTATGCAGTTATTGTGTTTTTCATCAATATGACTTTAAGCGATTGTGTATATTTTATTAAGGTAATGACTGAGGTGTGAAACTGTTATCACTTACAGAATCTATTTTCAGGTTTAAAACAATATCAATAGTTTAACAAAAATTTCTCAAACAATGAATGTAGAGTAGATAAGATATGTGTATAGGCGAATGTACTTAACACTCAACGTTCACGAACACTACTCCGAAATGTAAGTGATAAATTAATTTTTAACAGTTTTCACTTGGGTTTGACCACGGATTGATATCAGTTAGAGGACCATTGAAAACCAGGGAGTACTGAACAGCTGGTTTTCAATGGTTCTCTCATTGATGTCAATCCATGGTTAAACTAAAAAACACTAATCCTTACAAACCAAACCTTGAAAATAAGCGTCTGAATCCCTGTTAGACAGTCTAGTGAATAAATTAGTCCTTTACCTTTAACCTTTACTGAATTCTTCTTATTATCTCTACGGAATAACATAACTAAATGACTCGATGTTGTATTATATTGACCCCTGTGTTAGATAATTGAAAATGAGTCACTGTATTCTATCCGTCTCGATCTTACATTTTCTTGCAGTCATGGCCTGAGTGTACTTCATAAGCATTTCAATTATTTGATAAACCCTTTTATTCCACTGTAATCCTAAGGTTGAAAATTCTGACGGTATGAATTGATTGCAATTTAAACAATAAGTTTGCTTGACAAAAACTGAATTTGTCTTCAGCTTTATTGCTAGTGCACAGTGTGAAGCATTGATGTTTTTATCAGTATATGGGAAAAACAATAGGTACTGCCACGTTTCCACCATTTGTGTGTCTTTCCATTTATCGATTCAATAACCCTATCGATTATTTTTAACAAATTAGGCTGACCTTGAAACTGCATTGGCCACAAAGTGAAGTTATGTATTTTAAAAGGAAATATTAGGGTACAAAAATCTACTTCCAATCAAACCGATAGTAAAATTTAATGCATCTTTCTTCAAAAATTTAACAAATATGTTCTTTCCATATCCAGATTTCTAAATTTATTTGGTGAATTACTGTTGATTTTAGGATTTTAAGTTAAAATTAAATTTTATCTGGACACCCAGAGAAGAATCTGTTGTAAAAGTACCATAAAATTTCAATACTGTGCTTAAGAAGAGTTTTGTGTTAGATAAGTTTATTTGACATGGAATTTTAATTCCATCTTACAGTAAAAGCTAAAGAA